GTGTCGTGGTGAGGTCACCTGCTGGCGGTGGCCTACTTGCCTTCTCGACAGGTCTTTGGTGCTTGAAGACGTGTCTGATGAGTCATCATCTTCCGTACTTGATTCCGAACTCAACTCCTCTTCCTCTGTCTTTCCTTCGCTGGATGACCCGATCCTGATATTGTCAGGATCTGGATTGATTTGTGTCTCGAGGTCTGAGTCGCGATTGAAATCGCGTCTGTTGTATGTGATCAGACTTGGCACTCTGCGCAGCTGCGATATAGCTTGAGGTTTATCCGTGTACTTGATATTGTGCATCTTGCACAGATCCTGCAGATCCGTGTAATGCAGGCGAAGGAGTTTCGTGTTTGTTATCGGTTCAACGCCGAAGTTGATGCTTCGTCTCGACTTCAACCTAATTATCCTTGTCCGTCGTCGTGTCTTCGTTCGTCCTTTCTTGGGATGTGGAGGAAATGGTCGACTCAGTCTACTCCGACTTGGAATGCTTCGGCTTGGTAGACTGTGGGTTGGACCACTGCGGCTGATGTGTATTGAAGCCGGTAGTCCAGTCATTACTTCGGGATACTGATCGGGTGGACGGATGATGACGCTATTGGTGTGTAGGTTCTTGTTGGCTAATTTATCTTCTGCAATGCTCCTTTCACTGCCGCGAGATCGTACTTGAGGAGCTTGAGGTCGTTCACGTCTCTTCGCACCTCTGACACCAATTTCTCCACTTTACCTTCGTCTTCAGCTGCCCTCTGTCCTGCTCCGCTAGTACCTGCTTGCATGTTTGGTGCTTGCGTTGGGCCCCCCTGCTTCGCACTTTGCAGATCTGGTCTCAGTGCTTTGTCAATAATTGATTTGAGTTCAGATGCTGTGACCAGTTCCTTCGCTTTTGGTTCTTCAGGTGCTACCTCCAATCTCTTTGTGCTTCCCCGATTTTCTCATGTTGCATAGATTTCTTGTCTGCTGCCTTCATGGTGAGTTGCTCTAGTGTCTTCAACACTTTGTCCATCTCTCGTCGTAGCTTGAAGATTTCTTCCATAAGATAGGCCGTAAACCAAGCGTGATTTCCCGGTGGAGGGAAATCATTGCGTCGTTGCTCCCATTGTGGACGAGCCAATCGCTTTGGGGACTCCGATTCTGCCCTTTTCCTCCTGGATGATGGAGATCTTGATCTATGACGTTGATCTCTTGTAGTCCTGGATCTCCCTCGTCTTAAGCGTTTCATTCCGTGCGATCCAGAGGACGATGATGAGTGTTTGTGCCTCCTTCTGTCCGAAGACAAGCGCGATCGCGCCATCTTCCCTGAAGTATTCGGATCTTCGGGTACCCTCGACTTTGTCGATTAATGATGATAACCGAAAGCCGAATGATGCATCTCGAACAATCTCCAAATCGCTAATGTGAAGCAATCTCCAAAATCGAGAATAGAATCTCCACGCTAAACAACAATCTCCTCGCCGAAATGAAAAAACACCGAGTACGCTACCCGAAGTGCATGCACTAATGAGCGAGCTATGTTCCGTGTACTTGAGTAAGATAGATGATACTAGAAAGAAAGACAAAACGATAGAGAAGCAGATATAACAGATACGCAGATTATCACCTAGATCCCGTGTCGATCATCACGGGTACCGCCCGCAAGTTCGAAGCACCGTGCCTTGAGATACACACTTGCAACAATAGACAACATGTGCGAGGTTTTACTTTCGCAGTATACACGTCCTGTGCATGGCATGCGACAACTGTCATGATTACCCTTCTACCTCACTGCTCAGGTAATCCTTTCAGCCAACGTCCCTGAATTTATACCCTATCATCCTTATTCTTCCCATCTGCTTGTCCTCAATCCCTGCAGTGTCCTCATCCTCGTTGCCTCTAAGTTCTCCGTAGTCACGCTCTATACTGCCCTCGTGCGTATGTTCTTGTGGTACTGTCTATTCCTCTTTTTTGCCGGAATTCCGTACTCATTCAGTCTTTTTCTCTTTCGACAGTATTTTTGTCGAAAACTAATGTTGCAAATTTTGTTTATATCTTATTTGTCTTTCGGTTCTCTTTTGGCTTTGTATGTTTCTTTGTCTTTCGCGTGGTCATGTGTTTCAACATTATCTCCCATGTGAGTACTTCCATTTTCCCGCTGCCTGTTTGTTATATGCTTACTTTGGTTCGATTCATTTCTTTGCGTATGTCGGGAAATCAATATGGTCATTTTTGCGTCATTATATCTGCATGTCGCCGATCTTTTTATATGCTTTTTAAGTTTGCGCGTTTCTTTTCTTTTTTTTTTTTTTTT